TGTGCTGGTGCTTAATTCATAAGATCTGTTTATTCAATAAAATTTAAAATTTTTGTAGCATTTATTTGCAATTCACTATAGCACATGCACATGGCTACATTTATGTAAATAATAATATTATGCACAACTTTTGTATTCCTATATTTCTAATTCAGAGCTCCTCTCTATATTTTTAACAAATAAAAATTAATGTAAATAATAGTAATAAAAAAATATTTTTAATATTTTCAAATTCAGAACACGTCATTGTTTTCTTCGCTACGGTGTTATGCTTTTAATACATTTATGTCTTCACTTCTATGTTTTATCATTCATTATATATGAATGGTCCATGAAAGGACTTCAAAGGATATTTATTTAAGCAGACATGATGTTATTTTGATTTTTCCTTCCTTTTCTCTTTGCATTTTCTTATAAATATTTTGATGTTCTGCAGTAAGTATAGTCGAAATATTATAAATATAAAAAAAAATCGAAGAAAGAAAAATAGTGATTTTCTAATTTTAGAAGCTAAATTGAAAAAAGAAATTGAACAAAAAAAAAACAGGAAAAAAAAACAAACGTTTTATTGTGAACATTTTCGGTACATGATTTTCTATAAGCTTAGTATAAAACATGGGGTATGAATGTTTATAACGTTGCTATTTTTATTTGGTTTTCTCATCTTCAATATTTTAGTATTCTCTTTGAGTCAATTGGTTTCAGCAGCGTTATTGACCGTAAATTTACCTTCTAGGTTTTTTGGAAAAACAACAAAAAAAAGGAAAGTTTCAATATAGAAAATCAAATTATGTTTTCTTTTCTTCTAAAAATAACTTCGTTTGTTACTTGAAAAGCATAACAAAAATTTTAACTTTTGATGTCAAAAAGCTGATTATGTTACATTTTGCAAAAACAAAAGGGTTATTGGTTTACAGAATAAAGTAATGCAATGATAAACTAAATTCATGACTAAGTTACAAAATATTAAATGTAAACAGGATAAATATTTGAAGTTGTATAAGGTGGTATAGGTGAAGCCATTATGAAGGAGTGAAATTTAGTTGTGCAAAATTATTGAAAAATAGAAATTGAAAATTATTTTATAAGTGAAGTATTAAAAATAGTAGAAGTATAAAAGTATGTAAGTAATAAGTACGAGTATACCTATTATGTACCTAATCAATACTTGTTTCTAATAGGAAATAATTAATTTTTGTGTTCAGAACAAGATAACTGCTTGAACTCTGCATAATTATTTTCTGCACACGCTGATTAGTATTCGAGATTTTCAGTTAAATATACTTAATAAATTTGTTTTAATTATATAATGCAATTATTAAAATAAGTTTGTGCTTATATTCAATATATTTTTATTTATTCTACCAAATCGAAATGATTCATATGATTTAACTGCGCTACTTATATTAACATAGCTATATTTAGCAATAAAACGAAAATTTAACAATATAGACCAATTGTCGCTAGTTCATTATACTATATATATCGCGATATATTGCATTTATGATAAGGCCTATTATAATTTATAGTACAAATTATTTTATTATATTTTTAACTACAACAAGACAACAACAGGTATTTAATGTAGGTAATTTCATTAACAACGTTGAGCTCCGATATATTGGCTACAATAGTATTTGAGTTCCATTTAAAATTTATTATACAAAACTTCATGTAAATTTGAATTTATTAATTTTAAATTTAATCTCATGCCATGATCATTAATATTCATTTAAGTAATTAGTACATGCTCAGCAATATTGCTAAAATAATTCCTAATTTATAATGACTTTATCACGTTCCAAATTATAATATTAAAAAAACTCGTGAAATAGGGTAGAGTAACTTCAATGTGAGTGAGTTAAACTTGAGCTTTAAAAATTGAGCGAATTTTAAAATTTAAATTATTGAAACAATAATTCTACATATAAAATTTTCAAAAGCAAATGAAGCAAATTTACTTTACGTATAGTTCTGTTTTAAGACAATATTTGCTTACATACTAAGAACAAATTAAATTTAGCAGTGTACAAATAAAGTAAAAATAATAAGATAAATACACAAGCGACAAAGAAGTAGTCCCCGAATACACATAATATGTACATACATACGTATTTATGTACAATCTATTTACTTATCTTTAATTCGCCGGGTTCTTTAATGAATAGGTTGTAGGTACTTCAAATACACTTTCTTTCTAATATAAAAAAACAAAACAATCATGCGAAAAATTGTAAATGACAAGCAGTCGTTTAAAAATAATCCTTTTTATTTATTTTTTTTTTAAATTATAAAAATAAAAATTTTTTCTCTTTTTATAACTTTTTTTAAATGCAAAAAATTCGCAATATTTGAAATCAGGATTCTAATATTTTTTTAAGACAAATACTGGAAAAAAAAACATTCTACAAAGACTGTCCTTCTCTTATCCTTCCATGATATGATTTTTACTATCGTTAAAAAAAATTAAAATCTACCGACCATAGAGTTTCTGCGATTTTCGCAGCGTTTTTTACTTACATATGTATTGGTTAAGCATCACATGATGTTGTTTAGACAACATTCATTTGTACGCAAAAAAAAAGATGGTCATGTTCATTTTTTCGAAAACTTCATAATGAAGAAGAAAACGTGAGCGAATTTTTTAATACAAGCAAATAAAAAAAAACTTTTTTTTACTTCTGACTTCTGTTATTAAAAATTTTTAAATATTTTTTCATTACATGATTTTCTTCTTTAAATTTAAAATATTTAAATCTCAGTTTTTGGAAAGAATTTGAAATTTTAAGTTTATTTTTTTACTTTTAAGTAAAATGAATCATATGGACATATATATATATTCTTGCTCAGCGTAAAATTCTGCGTCGATTTAGACATGTCCGTCCGTCCGTCCGTCCGATCGCACGATAACTCAAAAACGAATAATGCTAGCGACACCAAACTTTTACAAGTTTTTTCTTTTGTGCCAAGGACGAGCCCTATTGTTATTGGACAAATTCGGACAACGGGTTCGGGTAGCTGCCATACAACTCAAAGAGTTTATTTTAAATATTTCGAAAACTAATAAAGCTATAAATATAAAATTTTGTATACATGTGTCCAATTATATTCTACAGATGCTCTAAAAATTATAAAGGGATAGCTGCACCGGTTCGGGTGGCTGCCATACAACTCCAACAGCAAATTTTTTATATTCGGCAAAGTAATAAAGTCAGATTCATGAAACTTGGCAGTCATGTGTCCAATTATAGGTCAAATATATTTCTGAAGTTTTAGAAGAATTGCTTGACAGATTCGGATACCTGCCATACAACTCCAGAAGCTAATTTTAAATATTTGGAAAAATAATAAAGTCAGATTCATGAAACTTGGCAGTTGCGTGTCCGATTGTAGATCAGATATATTTGTGAAGTTTTAGTGGAATTGCTTGACGGGTTCGGGTACTTGCCATACAACTCCAAAAGCTTATTTTAAATATTTGGAAAAATAATAAAGTCAGATTCATGAAACTTGGCACTTGTATGTCGAGTTACAGATCAGATATATTTCTGAAGTTTTGCTGGAATTGCTTGACAGGTTCGAGTAGATACCATACAAGCCTAAAAGCTTATTCTTAATATTTGGAAAAATAATAAAGTCAGATTCATGAAACATGGCAGTTGTGTGTCCGATTGTAGATCAGATATATGAAGTTTTGATGGAATTGCTTGACAGGTTCAGGTACTTGCCATACAACTCCTAAAGCTAATTTTAAATAAATGGAAAAATTATAAAGTCAGATTCATGAAACTTGGCAGTCGGATGACCAATTATAGGTCAGACATATCCGTGAAGTTTCTATAGAATGACTTCACGGGTTCGTGTAATTGCTACACAATAACGAAAGGTGAAGGGTATAATTCAATCGGTTTATACCGACTGAAACGTTTTTACTTGTTTATTATTTTCTTTTTATTTTTTAACATTATAACTTATCGGTTCAATATGGCAGCAAATACAATTCAAATAAAAAAGTCCCATACAAAATTATTGAACTCAAAGAAGCGAATTAAAGGGAATGTGATGCCATTAATTTTAATCAAATTTTATTTGCAAAAAATTATCTTAATGTTTAGCTCCTATTTTTATGTTTTTCGACAGAACTTTACAAAATCTACATATACTCGTATTATAAATACGTACAATTTTTCTTTAAACATCTTGAAGTCCTCAAGATCAATGAGTATGCTTTTATATTGTGCGAAGATGAATATAAATTTGAATAACCAATTTTCTAAAATTGGAAGCCGAAAGTACATATGTACATATATGTATGTTGGCGTGGAGCTTTAGTTAAAACCCTCGGAGGATGATTTCTTGGAGTTTTTAGAAAAAAGTTGTGCGTAGGTATGTGGAGACAACTTCCACAAGGGTTAGTTTTGCACTGTTAAAAATGAAAAAAGTTCTGTATGACATTTACCCATAACAAAGTAAATAGATGCTTTATCCGCAAGTCTTTTACTCAATATCCTACATCGTCTTATATTACGGTAATATTAATGTTTGATATCAGATTTACACGAAATTAAATACGAAATTTTTCGGTCAAAAAAATAAAAATCTTTTACAAAACGTCAGTTATTTCAAAAAGTTAGCTTTTTTTGTGAACGCATTATATCATGTCCTGCAACTTTGTTATACACAATTTTCATGTCGTACGTACTATTTGTCTGGTAAAGTGATAATTTTGCACAAAGAAGCCAGTTGAAAACAAGCGGTCTAACAGATTGAAAGGGTATTTCTGCATTTTCAAACACTCTTGTGGCAATTATTGCAATACATACCTAATATCAAATGATGGAAAACCCAGTACAATTGCAAAAGCAAAAACACCCCGTTATATTCAAAACAATCATGTGGTAAGCGCTTCAAACCAATCCAGCACTTCCTTGTTTACAGCACTTTTTTTACAGTTTGAAATACCTATCTACTTAAATTATAATTAAATTCAGACCCCACAATTTCGTTTTTGTGATTTATTTATTATTTATTAATAAATTTATTTCTTAGTTTTTACAGTATCACAAAATTATAATATTAAAAATTTTCATAATTTCAAGAAAAATCAAACCAAACATTTGCTCTTTCAAACACATTTTGTAAAATAAAAAATATAAAAGTTGATACAAAACAAGGTAGATATTATAAAATGTAATTTAAATTGTACAAAAATACTTAATTTTCTTAACTTTTTGAATTTTAAATAATTATTTACCCCAATTTTTTTTTTAATTATTTAAAAAAAAAATATACATATTATGTTGTATGTGCTTCTTATATTGACAACAAATTTTTTATTCTTTAGCCAAGTATTCATCGAAAAGATAAACTGATAAGGATGGCTCTTTTACACTCATTAATTTGGCCAAATCATTTGTGTAACCAGATAACTTACGAATTGTGTCTGTTTGATATTCTAAGAATTCTTCTTCCATATACTGTGATATTTCAGGATCGTATTTCATTTCACCAGTTGTGTAATGTTCATCTTCAGGTTTTAAATGATGAGCATGTGAAACACTACGATGAATATGGAATGCTTTGTCTGTTAATCTTTTTTCTGTATCCAAAGCAATTGATAATGCTTCAAGTTCATCAACTTCTAAAACTTTTCTTCCCAAATTTGAATTATCTTCTCTTTCATTTGAATCATCTAAACCAAACATCATTTCACCTCCACGTTTTGCAATATGTTTAATTAAATCAATTGAACGTTCCCAAGCTTTATCAGATAAACCTTGTAATAATTTGTTAAAACCTGGTCGATTTTTTTGATAAGAATTAAAACGACTAGCCAAAATCATATAATCGAATGAGGCAGCCAATTGATTGTTAGCATATTCTTGCAAAGATCTTTCTGCATGCTTGAAACCACCATACAATGCATTACATTTCACGGAACCTGAAAATAATATTTTTTGACGTAATAGGTACAATTTGAACTTGCATGTTTACATTTACATATTTATACTTATACTAGTAACTAGCACAGATTTACATTACATATATTAAATATCACAACAATTTCCTATTTACGTTAAATATTAAGGCAATCTGAGTATTTTTAAATTTACAAAAAAAAATTTTGTGTCGAATATGTTTTAAATTTAAATTGAATTTATTATGCGCAATTGCATTTTTTTTTAAATACAATCGATAGAAAGTTTCATTACCTTGAATAAATGATACGAACGACAATGCAATATTAGTTATTATTCGAAATTATTATCATAAATAGAAAATACCATAGACTGATACTCGTATTGCTGTAGACATACTACATATATTCCTGTCCAAATATTTACCTGTCCTTAGTAATTGAACAGAAATGAAGTTATTCATCAACAAAAAAATTTTTAATAGAATTTCTACACGCATATACATATGTACATACACATGTATAAATATTTCAAGTTGGATTTTTTTTTTGGTGAAATTTTAATATTTTAATCAGATTACTTTAATATTTCTTCTTCATATTTCAAACTTACCACTTTGGGAACATGCTAGTTGAACATTATCACGACATTCATCTTTGGCAGCTACAGCTGCAATCAAAACTGCAATGCACATTAATAGCCTCATTTCAAAAATCTATGCTTTGTCTGAAATGAAAAGTTGTTTTTATTTCTTTGACCTTTCGAAAATTGTACGCAATTCAAAGAGAGCTATGCTTCTTGAAATATTTTAAGTAACAGCATTTTATGTCACAAAGTTGACAAAGTTGTTGAAAATTTCTAATCTTTTTACTACATACATAAGTATGCAATAATTGAATTCATGTTATATTTACATATGCGTATATATCGGCTGTACATACAAATATATGTATAAATATATTTACATACTTATGCACTTCTATACACATGTGATTCATAAAAATGTAGAATAAAATTAAATTTAACAAAGGAATTTAAATCGATGTCAACCATTTTTAAATTTATGAGCTGTTTTTTCTTTAAAATTCTAATTACAAAGAAAAATCAATTTTTTTTTACCTTTTAAAAGATTTGGTATTTTATTTAATTGGAAAAACCAATTTACAACTTTCGTTTTTTCAACTCTATCTTACTTGGGCGACAAATTAAAACTGATTCAATTAATTTCTCAACACAATTATAATTATTATTTTAACTGTTTTATCAATTTAAAAAGATAATTTTAAAAAACTTATTTTTAATTCGTATTTACACTTCGACTATTCCGTTTTTATTTTTCCAGTTCTCAATTCAATCGATTTAGAGAATATAAAATAAAAATATCCAAGTCATTTCTTTACAACAAAACAACTACATAATCAATATAAAAATGAATCACGCACACCTTTGTATTTAAAAATTAAACGAAATTAAATATATCGAAAACAACTTTTAAGTTAATGGGGTATAAGCACTAGATTCTTTCTATGTTTTAAGATGGATTCTTTTGTTGGTCGGCTTTTAGCAGAGCCATTTCTACAATATTTTTTAATGGTTCGGTTTTTCATTGAAAATGGTATGTACCTTAATTGTAATAGTACCTTATATAAACATACTACTTAATAATATCATAATATTAATAACATAATAATATTATAATATTAAACATTATAATAATATCAATTATAAATTTCTAAATTGTCAAATTTTAAAATGGTTTACATTTTAATTTATGTTTCACTCATTGTATTTAGGCTAAATTTTGTAGTTATCGCATTTTGAAGAGAATCTTTGCATCCTCATTACGCTTAAAGCTTAGTGTTGAATTTTAAATCTTCAAACAAAACAAAATAACATAACGTATGTAAAATTTTCTTTCAAAACACAACGAACGTATGCCTCTATTTTCTAAATATGTATCTATATCTATGTAAACTCGTCTATTTTTATCTTCAAACTTAAAATGTGTCGCAAAAAATATTTTATTAAATTAATTTTTATTATTTTAATGAATTTGGCCCATTTAACTTATTTTGATATGTTTTAAAATACTGGTGGAATAATATCTTAATATGCAATTTGAATAAATAAAAAATTTAAGGTAATCAAATGTATTTCATTTTTGGAAGATATTGCTGTTACAGTTGTTGTTGAAAAAATACACATTTCAAATTTAAATTATAAAAGTAACTTTTTTTTTAAATGACAGTAAAGAAAAAGAGACGATTTCAGATGTAATAACTAAAAGTCGAAATATCTTTGAAAATATGTACGATTCATCTGTCTACATCAAATTTGCTACATTAATTTACTGTTTAAGTAGACATGGTACCTTTGGATTCCTTTTTTTCTATTTGTTAGTAGTTTGGCTTTTCAGAACTTAACAGCTTGAGTAGATGTAGTTTGGGAAATTAATGTTGCTCTCAACGTTCTCAATATAACATTTTATTGGTTTTTATTAATTGCTAAGTAGCCAATACTTTTCAAGTAAAGGAGTTGTTCACATTAACACTGCTGAAAAGAAACAAAATCAAAATAAGTTTGATCAAATAATCGCATTGTTATTACATACATACTTATTTAAGTGAATTTGAAAAATTGGTGCCAAGATAATTGAATTTGAATGTGCTCCAATGCATTATTGTTTGCTTCTCCTTTTCTCTCTAAGCGGAATTGTATTTATAATTTCATTCAATGGTTTCCTATAAGAATCATTTATGGGAAACTATGAAATAGCTGTTTTCAAAGAATTTTTGTAAACAACTTATTTTTGGGGTATACAGCTAAGTCAAAATAAATATAGATTTTAGAATGTTCTCCAAATAGTTTATAATTAGTACTCTGTTTTTCAAGACTGCAGTAAAAAACTTATAAAAGTTTTAGTAACTTCACATATTGCGTTTTACTTTATTGTGAAATTCTTATTATAGATCAATTTAAAATTTTTGCTATAAATTTTGTTAGATCTTCTGCTACGTAATCTACGTAGATGGTAATAAATTTTTATAAAGTGCATAAATAAAGTCTTTTTCAAATTAAAGGAAATTTTTTATTCGTTTAAAAATTTTTTTTCGGGGAAATTACCGATTTGGAATATTTTCAATTAATTTTGTAGTAGCGGTTTTAAGTAGTTGGCAATCTACGTAATTATTTTTAGTAGGAAATATCTTATACATAAGCAACAACGTAATTCTACTAACACTACAAAGAAATTAATCAGCTGGTTATCATATACATAAAAATTCAATATTCCGTCGCCATATTGCAGTGTGTTTGTCAAATTCATACAAAAACATTCAACATCGAATGTGCTTGATTTATTAACAAAGTGCAAATTATAAAAATAAGTTCTGTCTTATCTACTAGAAAATAAAAATTTAATAAGCAAAAATTTTACTTCAATTAAATAATAAAAGTCCTGTTATCAGCTTAATTAAATAAACTATAAAAAACTTCAAAAAAAGAATATTTAGTCGTGTTTGTGCACTCAGTCTTAAGCATATTTTTATAGGAACCGTTTCTAAATTGATTTTATAAAAAAAAGTTTGTTAAATTTTATTTTTACTCATTTATTAATTGATCACCTTCTGTGCCAGTGTGTATAAAGGTGGAATTGAAGACTCATTTATAAATATTTCATCATATTGAACGGTTTGTCATAATAATAATAATAAAAAAAAATAAAATAAAAAAGAAAGAAACATTTTAATTTTTTTTCAGAAAAACAAAATATTAAATTTTAAACTCAATTTAAAAACAGTGACAAACAAAGAAGGATATAAAATTCGTCGCATAACTTATTAGTGAGAGTTTTCATATAAATTTTTTAATTTTGTGAGAATAAATTTGAATAAATTAAAGTCGAAAATGAAATTGTTATTGGGAATATTTTTACTTTCTGTAACAACAGCGGTTTATGGAGATTTACATTGTGAGTATTCAATACCTATTTATTAATTTAGAAAATTTTTACAAGTTATTTTTTATAAGATGAATATCTAATTGGATAATAATGAAAGTGAAATCGTGATTTAATATGATTAACGTATGAGGTCTATAAGCCTTGAATGAAAGAATATGTAAATTTATTTTTTATGTAGAAAAGCTTTGTATTTTTAGTGCATGCAATTTATTTTTTTTGTTGGATTTTATGTGTACTTGATTTTTCTATGCAACACATCATGTGTGCATTCTAATTTTTTTTTTAATTTTTTGTCGACTGTTCTACTTTGTTCTATAGAAGGGGTAAGGAAAATAAGGCGTAATTAAAAAGTTGATGTTACCCTAAAAACAAGTAAAATTAATTTTAATTTATTTAGTCTTTTTATTTGGTTAAGTTATTGGATTTTGGTGATAAAACTTTTGAATTTCCAAAATTTATCATGATTATAAATCGCTTAAAATGTAGGAAGACAGAAGAATAAAGTTAAATTTTAAATTGTAGATTTTGATAACTATGAACTGTCAAAAAAGTGAAAAAACAAGAATAAATATCGTTCAAAAATTCAATGAGAAATGCTGTTGTCCTTTTCGTATACTTCTATTTCATATTTTTTTGCGAGCGCGCAATGCTGCCATAGCTATAAAAACTTTAAGTCGCCATTTTAGATATTTCATTATACTTTGTTCAACATCATTTCATTGTGTCCTCAGTAATAAATAAAAATTAAAATAAAATAAAATTTAATTACATATTATTATTGTGTTATTATAATTATTTCATTTATAATAAACGTATTGCAATATTTTGATTTGAAAATAAAAGGAAATTGCATGGAAAAAATGGAAATATAAATGTAAAAGAATTTTCATTTCAAAACAATACCCATGTTATTGATTTTTGCTGAGATTATGCTAAAATAGTTTATTCAACTTTAAGTTTAATTTATAAACAAATTTAAAGGAATTTAATATTATCACATCGATTTTTTTTTCGTTAAATATAAAAATTTCAAATATTAAATTGATTAACTCAGCAAAAGAAAAGTTTTGCAAGTAAATTTTAAAGAAAAAAAATGGAGGATCCAAATCGAATGATGGCTCATACTGGAGGAATGATGGCACCTCAGGTATATGGAATGCAAGGACAAGATGATGGAACAAATACTGGGAATGAAAATGAAATACGAAAAAAAGACATAGGTGAAATATTACAGCAAATTATGAGCATTTCAGAACAATCATTAGATGAAGCTCAGGCAAGGAAACATACTTTAAATTGTCATAGAATGAAACCAGCGTTATTTTCGGTTTTGTGCGAAATAAAGGAAAAGACTGTTTTATCTTTTCGTAACACTCAAGAGGAAGAACCACCAGATCCGCAATTGATGCGTTTAGATAATATGTTGATTGCAGAAGGTGTGGCTGGTCCAGAAAAAGGTGCAGCAGCGGCTGCTGGTGCTGCTACATCATCATTATCTATTGAAAATGCGGATAATGCAATTGAACATTCAGACTACCGTGCGAAGTTAGCTCAAATTCGGCAAATATACCATCAAGAATTGGAAAAATATGAACAAGCTTGTAATGAATTTACAACTCATGTTATGAATTTGCTCAGAGAACAAAGTCGAACAAGGCCAATTACTCCAAAAGAAATTGAACGTATGGTTCAAATTATACATAAAAAATTCAGTTCAATACAAATGCAATTGAAACAATCAACATGTGAAGCAGTTATGATACTAAGATCAAGATTTTTGGATGCACGTCGTAAACGTCGCAATTTCAGTAAGCAAGCTTCAGAGATTTTGAACGAGTATTTTTATAGTCACCTAAGTAATCCTTATCCATCAGAAGAAGCTAAGGAAGAATTGGCTCGTAAATGTGGAATTACGGTTTCGCAAGTTTCTAATTGGTTTGGTAATAAACGTATTCGTTATAAGAAAAATATTGGTAAAGCACAAGAAGAAGCAAATTTATATGCTGCTAAAAAAGCGGCTGGTGCTTCCCCTTACTCAATGACTGGTCCTCCAAGTGGTAACACAACGCCAATGATGTCACCGGCACCACCGCAAGATTCAATGGGTTATTCGTTAGGTTCAGGTGGTTATGATCAACAACAACCATACGATGGAAGCATGGGCTATGATCCCACTATGAATCAGGATCTTAGTCCTTGAGGACGACATACCTACAAATTTTAAAATTTTACCTATTAATATAAATACTTAATATTATTTACACTAAAAAAAAAATAAAAATAAAAAAAAAAATATAAATATAAGTGAATTTTCAAGAATTACATGAGTGCAATAACAATAGTGGAGAACTTCTTTAATAAAGAAAATCTGATTAGTTATAATACGAGTATTTATGTATTTTATACTAAATTTTTTAGTAATTTTGATTAATTTTTTTTATAATTATTAATTTTTATATAAAAACTACTTCTCAGATATTTCTTTATTTTTGAAGAAAAAAAATTATCATGCCAATTTGAATATGTTCTATAGTAGATTTTTTTTTTATTATAGGAACGAATAAAAATGTTTTGGCAATTAATATAAAATCGAAAAAATAATATTTTCGCAACATAATTGAATGTTAGCGCACAAAAATAAAAATAATTTCTTGGCATGGTCCTAGTATTTTTTAATGAAAACAAAATGTAATTCTAGGAAATTCTATTAAGATTAAAAAGTTTAAATTTAAAATTAAAAAACAAAAACATTTGGAAAAAATGTATACTGAAAAATTGTATACGTACTTATTAATCACTGGAAAAATGTATACGTAAAAATTAATAATAAAGAAGTTTAGCTAGTATGCCAGCTTAAACAAAAACTTTTCATTCAAATTTAAAATTTTGCAATATTTTAGGTACAAATAGGCTTTTGATGCATTAAAAAACGGGATTACGTATTTTAAATGTCGAAATTAATTGGGGCTATTATATTCTTATTTCGTTGATATAATATATATTGCTAAACGCAGGTTTTTAGCGCTCAAGGGAAATGCTTTACGGAAGTTCTAGTGAAAATTCGAAATTTGCTCAACTATTATTAAATTATGTTTTTTTTTTGTGAATGAACTAAGTAGTAGGTACATACCCACTAAATAAAATAATACTTTCGACTTGCTGTCAAATGTATGTTTAATAAAAATTTACTGTTTAGGATAAGTTTTGTCTATGTGGGTATATACTATGCTATAGATAGAGTGTTGAGTATAGATACCACATGAGTACCAAAAACAGATTTTAAATAGACGAAATAATCGCTGCGGAAATAAAGTTCTTATTTCCTAATAAATTTATTTTTGAATTTTCTATTAATTTCTAGATCAGTCATTTACTAAAAATAGTTTTTATTTTAATTTAAAATAAAAAATGCAAAGCATATGTTTTTAGAACATTTTTTATGAAAATTTGTTGAATTTTGAAACTAGGGGTTTTTACATACTGGAATAAGAGCATAATCATAGTTTATAAACAACTTATATACATTGATATGTTGGTATCTGTATCGAGTACATATAAAATATTTTACTACCGCAAAATATGTCGGTATTAAATTTAACTAGAAGCACACTCTAAAAAAGTCCGAAAACTGAACTCAGAAAATTTTGAATAAAAGGGGTAATTTTTAATAATTTTTAATTGGCTAACGATTTGCGTATATAATTGCACTAATTCCTTGGAGCAAATACAACATTTTTACAAAAGAAAAGAAATGTGCGAGCTTGATTTGAAGAACTGGATTTATAAAATCTACCAATTAATTTTTTTTAAATTATCCGCGAAATCGTGATAATTATTCATTGTGCATATGGGTCCATAAAAAAAAACAATATTCAAAGCTTTTTTCATAATATTAATTTGCAACAAAGAGTTTACATTTAATTTTTTCTTATTTATAGAAAACAAAAATTGAAAGTCATTGTGGTATAATTTTTTTTTTTATGATGACGACATAACGTAGTTCGTTCTTTTTTCTTTTTACAATAAAATGGTTTTACTTTTTTAGATGAACTATAATTTTTTTTTATAATCAGATATTGTACTTTAAATTTGATACATGTATGCATTTACTTGTTAAAGTTGTTGAGTTGGATAACTTTATGCAAAAAAATTTGGAAGGTTTGCAAAATTTTTTAAAATTTTCATTACTCAATGACCTTTTGATTCTGAAAAATTATTCCCTGTATGTTAGAGCAATTGAATGTTGATTTTCTAATAATAAATTAAAATTTACTAATTATTAAAAAAAAAGAAACGTCTTATCATAATGCCTAATTTTTTTTTTTTTAATAAAAATAAAAACAAAGGTGAAGCTCCGAATCCAACTTTACCAAATGCATGGATTGACATGACATCCGGATGTATTACGGCTGTAAGGGATCAAATACAAAAAGAAATTGATGCTTCTTTTCAATATTTAGCTATGGGAGCCCATTTCTCTCGTGATACTGTAAATCGTCCTGGTTTTGCCGATTTCTTCTTTGATTCAGCTAAAGAAGAACGTGAGCATGCACAACATTTAATTGATTATTTGACAATGCGTGGACAATTAACTGGAGAAATTAGTTCTTTAATTAAAATTCCTGTAAGTTTATTGAAAAATTCTTTTGTATTTTCAATTTTTATATTTACGTACATAATATTAATTTAAAAAATTATTAACATTAAAAAAAATTTATCTTGAAATTGTATTGATTAATTAGACTCATATGAAAACTAAATGGAATCATGGTGTTGATGCATTAACCGACGCATTAAATTTAGAAGCTCAAGTAACAAAAAGCATTAAGGGTGTCATTGAAAAATGTGAATCCGATATTGCAGCTGATTCTGAAAATAACAATAAGAAAATTAAAGTTAATGATTATCATGTAAGTTACAAATTATTTATTTTATTTTTATTTCAAAACACATGAGATGCTTTTTTTTAAAATTTTTAACAATTTTAAGATTTCCTAACTGATAAACTTCATACTTTGTTCATTAATATTAATTTTAAGTGAATTTAAAAATTCTTAAATTTTCTTTAATTTTTTTCATTTATTAAAATTAGCTTGTTGACTATTTGACTGGCGTCTATTTAGAAGAGCAACACCATGGCCAACGTGAGTTAGCTGGCAAACTTTCAACATTGAGTAAGATGATGAAACACCATGGCGAAATTGGTGAATTCTTATTTGACAAAACCTTGAAATCATAAAAAAATTTTCTCAAGCTATTATTAATAATTTCGTGAATAGCTCTTATGGATTATTAATTATCAAAATCAGGATTAAAAAATAAACTATTAATTTGGTAAAATTTAAAGTAAATTATATAGAGGTTTGCGGACGATGTTTAAGTTAATGGAATAATTCTGATTTAATAAAATTTTTTTTTAGTTCTTTTAAATTTTAAAATCTGTAAATTTTTCTTTGTACATTATTAAAAAACATTAATTTTTTTTTTGATTTGGAGATTGCACAAAATTTTTCAATATTATTTTAATAAGCAATAGTAAACGTACATAATATACTTTTCTTAATAACTAATTTGAAAATTTTGTCAACAGTGTAATGGAAAATTTAACTGTGCGAGCTCCGATACAAGAGCTCATTTTGAAAATGGTGCATATTGAATAATATTGCATTGTTGATGATTTTTCATATTTTTGTAGTTAATATCAGAATTGTGTCATTAAACTTACTTAAACTCTGTTCGGATAATAATATTCTTTTTTTTATTGTTTTTATACATACTTATATTTTTTTTTGTAATTACTTTTGAATGATATTTTGTTAGAATACTTACTTATATTTAAAATTAATAAAATTCAATCAGTGAAACGCATTATTCTTTTCAATAATATTTAATAAGAGAACATTTAGAATATTAACCAATAAAAATTGAAATAAAAGAAAATGTAAAAATATTTTTAGTAATTAAATAATAAACTATGAAAACCATGGTGAAATTATAGAAAAGGAGTAAAGGAATAAAGTTGGTTATATAATACAAAGTCCATCGTAATCGTTATAATATTTCTTAAATATAAAAACTCTCTTTGTAATTTTGTTTTTTGGTTAATATTTTTTTTTTGTAATTGAGCTACTATACTTTATGTTATTAAGGACTGTGATTCATAAAATTTTTAAACAAGTAAATTAAATCATTTAAAATCAAATGAAATGGGAGAAAACCATTAATCAAAAAAATATAAAATACTAATTAATAATATACTTTTTTTTATTCTTGCAAAATTTTTACAAATTTTTTGGTATTCTTTTTAGAACAAATTGAAATGAAATGAAATTATGAGTATTTTATATGTATTTATGTAAAACCGAATGTATAAAAGGCGTATTTAAGAAATAAAATTAAAAAAGAAAATCAAATATTGTTTATTTATTTTTTTAGTGATAAAATATTATTTTTTGTGGGGAGTACCCAGAAGAAATTTTAATAATTTTTATTAAATATTGGCAATTAGTCGAAAATTAAGAGAGTTTAGTATCATAAGCAGATTTAGTCCTCATGAATGCGTGATTTTATGTAGTATTAACTAAAAAAATAATAGTTTATTTTTAGCTGGAATAGTTTCGGAAGATGTACTTTTACCTATTTTATGTATTTGTATAAATTTGTTTTGCTATTTAAATTATAAAAAGTAGAAAAATCAATTAAATCTTGATTTGTCAGTATGGAGAACGCAAATTTAATTAAAAAAAATTTTTAAAAAACATTTCCAAATAACTCTTGGTTTTGTTTGAAAAGCTTTCAAATATTTAAAATATATTAATTACGAGTATACGTATAAGTTCAATAAATTTTCAAAACGTGATAAAGAAAAGAAAACAAATATTTTTTTCAAATATTTACAAATTATAATTAAAAATATTTGACTAGACGGGTGTTTTTCTTTTAATATAAATTAATAAAAAATTGTTTTCTTATAGAAATTTGATTGTACTTGACACGCTTTTTTTCCAATTACAATTGAAATTGAAAATTAACTTTGTAAAAATAAAAATAGTAAATTTCACCAGTAAATTTGAGTAAATTTTGAAGTATAAATTATGACTTAGATTTTAAAAGCAGGTAATAAATCTGTTTTTAAAGGATTTTCGAATTACGAAGTACCCGTGACTTCAATAATGCTTTATAAAAAGTTTAAGTACGGTATTAATACGATTGTATTACCGTCTCAGAGCTTTCAACACCTTTACATTGTACAAAAAACTGCTATGGCTTTTGATACATTTTGGAATCCAATTTTTACAATATTAATTACAATTTTTGCTTGAAAATTTCAATTTAAAGCTCTGTGCAAATCTTAATTTTTAACAACGGTTAAAAATTTTTAACAACGGTGCATTATAGAAAAAATCTTAATAACTAGCATTTTATTGCTGAAAATATATGCTACTTTATTTAGTTGGTTATTTCTGCCAATATTTATATGACAGGTATAAGAAAAGCGTGCTCGATTTTTTCGATATCCAATTTACATATAGAGCGCATTTACGAAAAGTATACAACGTCAACAGCTTTTATTAAACTTTTTGGAATGTATACTTTGTAAAGTTTACGTATTAAGCGCATTATTGAAGTCACGGTACTTGAATTCATTTGTCTATGACGAATGCTTTGATAACAAATTTCAATCAAGCCGTTTTTGTGTAGGTACAGTTTTGTTTTTACACCTAGTTTAAAATAATGTAAGATAATAATCGGGGACAGCATTTTTTTATGCAAATTTCGGTTATACGATTGATTATCGTCAATCGCATGTTCAATAAAGATATTCTTATCATGTACATATGGTATATTGAATTTGTGCTGATTAGAAAGCAATTTGCAAGATATAATTTGACCTTATAATATTGATTCGATTTAAAAAATTTAAATATTTATTAGTTTGCACATACGTAGAAATTACAGAATTAACTTTTGTATGTTGTTATAATTATGTATAATAACAAAATAATAATACATATTGATAATGTTCTCATAAATTTTTGATTATAATCAACAATTTTAATAAAATATCTAATCAACAAAACAATATTTATAACTATTTATATGTATGTACATATGTATATTTATATTTCGAAAGTTTTATTTCTAAAATAGATTCTAAAAAATATAAGCAAAAATATATTTGCGGAATTATTTAAATTTTTTTTTTTTAATGCGCAATAAGATTATATTATATTATATAGGTAGAAGAGTAAGTATGTATTTATACAGATGTAGAATATTTTTTTTATAAGTTCAATATTCATTTCCCAAAATATTTACTTTTTCTGTTCAAGTGAATATAATGTAGATACATTCACTTTTTTTTTTAAATTTATATATTATATATGAAATTATGTTATATTTATGGTTATGAATATCAGGAATGGTTATTCCTGTATTATTGTACTTTCTCATAAGGTATTTTCGATAAGAATTCTTGGTGCTTTAAAATATTTTTCGGGTTAATTAAATGGCATGTCTATAATAATATAATAAATTTTAATAAATATTTATTAAAAATAGAGTAAACATGTTTTTATACTAAGTAGTACATGCTTTATAGTATATTGGTCATTGCTTATGTAATTGTAAACAAGTAATTTGGATAAAATGAATTTTAAATAAAATTTAAAAACCAGTATGTAAATGTATGATATTCATGTGGCTGACAAAAAATTCCAACAAACAGTGAAGAAAATGAAGGCCGAATTAAAAAAAATATGTATTAAAGTTTTCAAATTTTAATAAACAAATACATATAATATGTATTTTCATGAATTTAGAAACTTTTCTCACAAAATCTTATGAACGCCTTGCCTTACCCTTGTCCAATTCTTATGGATAACTTGATAGAGAGAAATCATGATGCTACTCAGTTGTAAACATGAGTAGGCCAGCAGTTTTGAAACTACGTTAATTTCCTATTTTACTTTTGGTAACATAAATAATTTAACTTGTTATTAATAGTAGAGAATTAATTATTATTAATTAATTAATTTTATGATATTTAATTTACTTTTATTTTATTAGGTTATAAATATTTCTCTATTGGATGAAATTATGTGTTTTCTTCCCATATTTCATTAACTAAACTAGTTCTATTTGGTTAAACTGGGTGCACACCTTAAAAAAATTATCATCTACTGTGGAAGGATTAATTTGTTTCATTATAGGGCCCGAAGTAGGGATTAAAACTAAGGAAATTTTTTTTTTTTGGTAACTTAATTCGAATTTTTGTGCATTAAAATTTTAAATTGTCGAAATTAATAATTAAGAGATTTGGTCCCCAATTACATACATAATTAATTTCACACATAAAATCCTAAAATCCGTGCTCTGTGCGTTTTTGTACCACTGCCTATCAGTAACTCCGGCACATTTTCGCAGCGGAACGAGTGAGAAGAAAGCTTCTTATTTTAAGTGAGAAGAATTACACGTGCTTGTGAATGTTTTTGATTTTATTTATTTTATTCGTTCTTTTTGTAAATGAACGATAAATTTTAAATTTTGTAATTCACCATTGTGTGATATCTTTGGAAACAATCTCCCATGTGCATTCTGGGTTTACTTGGGCAAGTGTCACCTTTGTTTTCTTATAGAGTAGACAACACAGTCCGTCTTTGGACCTTTTCTCATTATCAGTCGTCTCTTTGGTCGTATAATTTCGGAAACCACTTATACTTATCTATCTTCTAACACTGGAAAATCAAACACATCTTCACTATTATTCAACTCTATATTCTCATCATAATTATTATTTTTCTCCATATTGCTGACCTTAAAATGGGTCAAAAAATGATTCAATCGTAACAGTAGAGAGAGACTGAGCATCCTTTAACTACAGATAACAATTGCCAACGCCGACAATTTCGTAACATCTTATGCGTAATCATGTTAAAAATATAGGGCTACTCAGCGGAACCTGCGGGACAAATGACTGATGGCTCCGTATCGGGGCCAACGGAGCGCTAAGGGTTAATATTTATGCATGATTTGCAGAGTCAATAGTATCATGAATAATGCTTTTTAGACCAGGGGTTTTAATATTATTCATTAAAATATTTTCATTAGAATTGTTTTAAATAATAAACTTTTCAATCACTAAGGATTGTAAAAATAGATATAAGATATTTTTATGATACAAGTAAGCTTCTTACGTTTAAAAGGTTTATTTTAAATAAATAATAACAATATAGTACGCACATGAAATTAAATTGACCTTTAGTGATCCTCAAAAAAAAAAACCTTTGAGTATAAAATATCTATTTTAGCCGGCAATGTAAAATTAAATTATTATTTATTACTATTTTTTTTTTTGAAGATGTTAAATTAAATAATGATTTTGCATAAATAATTTTGTTCACAAGCCAATTTATACTCTAATGAGTAATTTAATATTGAAACTAATTGGAATTGAAAATGATGTCGTGTACTTTAGAGATTGGTAAACTATAGAAAAGAGATAATAATTTGTATTTCCATTTAATGTGTGTGTAATTGTGATTACTTTATTATTTTATTTTAATTCATAGTGATTTTATTTTAGTGATTACATATGTATACACAAAAA